GACAGTGGTACTCTACTAAATTCTGGGGCTGCTACTGAAATGTCGTCATTAAATTCTGAGTTTACACATCTGGCACGCTGCCGAAATGCAGCTCAGTGTGTTATAGTGTAGATTACAGTCCAACAAATCAATGCTTTTCAATTGTGGCTTTATGTAAACCTGCAGTTAAAAACAGTGTGCAATCACTTCTTTGCCTACCTGATGAGGGGACGAGGAGCAAGTTGTTTTCCAGGGTGAAGAGGTGAGAATTCCAGCTTGAAATAGAAGCATTCTCTAACACATCCTTGAAGACATGGCTTTTGATAAAGGCAGTTTCTCTGGATACATCTTAGCCTACTACTACCCATACTGTTCAGGGAAGTTCCTTCCTTTTCACTGACAGACTTGGGAGTTTCTTTAAAGAACTGGTTTGGTGTTTCAGTATTTCCTTTAAAAATCTGTCAGTATTTGTGGGCAACAAAACAAGAGCCATGAGGCCTATAGTAGAAAGGCAGGCAACTTCTAATCCCACAGAAAATGAAAAGCTTCAAGCAGCATAGTATAGTCTCTGACTAGATTCTAGCATTAAGAATGGCAGGACGGGGGGCACCTGGGTGGCTCAGTGGGTTAAAGCCTCTGCCTTCGGCTTGGGTCATGATCTCAGGGTCCTGGGATCGAGCCCCGCATCGGGCTCTCTGCTCAGCAGGGAGCCTGCTTCTTCCTCTCTCTCTGCCTGCCTCTCTGCCTGCTTGTAATCTCTCTCTGTCAAATAAATAAATAAAATTAAAAAAAAAAAAAGAATGGCAGGACGGGGAATACCAAGATTCATTTGATGCCTCTTTTGCAGAGATCAGAGTACAAGGAACAGGTACCATCCTATTTCTAGAGGCTAAGGTTTCATGGATTCATATTAGAAAAAGATTTAGGACACAATTATACCCACAGGGCAGAACAATGTCAGTAATAGCTGGCTTCAAATTCAAAGGAAAAATTTACACACAGATACAATTAAATCTTTATAGCAGGTAGCTGTGGCTGTCAGCCAGCTATTGAAAACAATTTCAGAAAGAAAAACTCTCCAGGGTTGGTCTTTTAATCACTTTGGCCAAAATAAAGCAAAGAAAGCCAAAGCAAAGCCAAGCAAAGCAGAAAAAAAAAAAAAAATCATTTTTCCAAGAAATCTCTTTTCTATCACATCAGGAAGATCTCTGTATGGAAATGTTTTGGCCACATTTCTCATTTGGCGGGTAGGGAGGATCTGGACATGAAAGGCTAGTGACTGTCCCTTCCACCTTTTTTTTTTTTTTTTTTCAGGGGGTTTTCCATTGCTTTCTAAATTAGTTGTCCTAAGAATCACCTTTTTGGGGTGCCTGGGTGGCTCAGTGGGTTAAAGTTTCTGCCTTTGGCTCAGGTCATGATCCCAGGGTCCTGGGATCGAGCCTTGCATCGAGCTCTCTGCACAGCAGGGAGCCTGCTTCTCCCTCTCTCTCTACCTGCATCTCTGCATACTTGTGATCTGTCAAATAAATAAATAAAATCTTTTAAAAAAATCACCTTTTCATGTAATGCTAGAGTTGTAACCAGCCCTGCAGTCTGTAAACTGTTAATGTGATTGGGAATGAGCAAGGTGTTGACTGAATTATGGGAATACCATATAGAATTTGAATAGAATTTTATCCTTTACTCATTTTTAGATAATTTCATTTTACTCAAAGCAGACTTGATGAGTCACTTAAAAGGGGCACTATTCAAGAGTTAGGATTTAATATAATTTACAATTCAAATGTAGAATCAAATTCCAGTATTTTACCATATTTGGGAGAGAACAGATCTAGGTAAGTTTTTATCTGTGGCTAGGGAGGCAACGTAGCTGACAAGTTCATGCTGGAGGAAAACCAACTCTCCTTATTCCATGTTGCCAGATTCAAGATTATATGCCCATTGCTTTGAGGACTTTTTTTTTTTTTTTCCAACTTAAAACATCATGTTAAATTTCATCAACTACTTTTCCCCCAGGGGTCGAGTTGGGATAGTCATTGTGCTTTTCTAGCTTTGTATTAGTTATTGATGGCTGTTTAACAAATTACCCCAAGATTCAGCAGCCTGAAATAGTACATATCTTGGATTTCTGATCAGTGATCTCTCTTGGTATTCAAGGTCTCTTACAAGATACAATCAAGGTGTTGTCTGTGGTCATCTCAAGGCTCCCGTGAGAGGAGGATTTTCTTCCAGGCATGTTGCTGGCAAGATTCATTTCTTTGAAGGTGGGTGGATTGAGGGCCTCTGTTCATGTTAACTGTTGGCTTGAAATCCCCATCTCTTGTCCCATGGGCCTCTCCATAGAGTAGTTCAGCACATGGCAATTGGCTTCCATCTGAGTAGGAAATCACAAAACTACTAGTGGGTGAGCAAGACAGTAGCCAGCCTGTCACCTGGTCTCAGAAGTGACATGGCACTTTCGGCACATTCATTGGAAGCAGTTTCCAGATCCAGCTCACACTCAAAGTCAGGGAATGATACAATCTTGTGAACACTAGGAGGCAAGGATCATGGGAGCCATCCTAGAAACCTACCACGAGCTTTATTCATTTTTTTATATTAAAATACATGACAGAGGAAATAAGATTGCCTTTAGACTATGAATGTAAAAACCAGAGGAAGCTGTGGAAAGTTCACTATTGTTAGCTGTGAACATTTTCAGAGCTTAACTGTCTTCTAAGAGTCTGGAAAGAACTTCCCTACAATTCATGTGACTATTTTTTGGTTCAAAACTTGTGAATACTTCTCTGAAACACTGCTTAATACAATAGGACAAAGTCATCAGTTGAAGAACAGAACATTTGAAAAGCATGGTTCAATACCTAGATTTCTGATGAAAATTCCTTCTAGCAATCAGCAGTTACTCATAATGTTTCAATAAAGTATGTACCGGCTCAGTGGCCTGCTGGCACCAGATGTTACAGAGTATGACAAAACTGGGCAGGTGAAAGCACTTTCAGATAAAAGCTGTTTCTTGATCCTAAATAACACAGAAAGTAAAATTGCTCTGTAGCTATTTGCAGAGACAGGCCAGCGGTAACTACCTTTTTCTTTCGTCTTTCTTTGCTCCTTGATCTGTGTCTGCATGATTGCAAAGCTCGGAGTTTTTGCCTTCCTTTGCTTTCTCCTCAGTGTACACCTTTTGTGAAATCTACTCATCTATCTTTGCGAAGCTGTGGCCGTGACTGATACACTCTGCACCTCAATAGGACACTGTGTTCTAACAACCAGCTCAGAAAGTCCTCACTGCCACGTTGGTGACTGGGTGTAGCACACTGCATCGGTAGGCAACCTAACACTAAATTCACCTTAAAAATTTTTTTTTAACTTCACTGGCAGGTTAATTTGAAAACTTAAATGGTCTAAGAGCCTGAGGATGCTTTTACTTCTTATTGTAACTAAGATTATTTTACTTTGGAAGCTGTTGGGTAGGAAATGCCAACTTCTCCCTACAAGGAAATAAGGATTCTTTGTCAATTCTACAGACTCTGGAAAATGAGACAAGCAAGGAAATAAAAAAATAAGGTCTATTTCCAGGTCAAGGGTCATATTCTTTACTGTGAAGCATCCAATCCAGGATTACACATAGAAGAATTCTTACATGGTCTGGATATTCATCTATAAATTCACTGCTTTATTTATTTTTTATTTTATTTATTTATTCATGAGAGACAGAGCGAGAGAGAGAGGCAGATGCAGAAGCAGACTCCCCGCTGAGCAGGGAGCTCAATTCGGGACTAGATCCCAGGACCCTGGGATCATGACCCTAGCCAAAGGCAGACACTTAACCGTCCAAGCCATCCAGGCACCCAAAATTCACTGCTTTAAAAAAACATATACTCAAGGGACACCTGGGTGCTCAGTTAAACGTCCAACTCTAGGTTTCGGCTCAGGGTTGTGAGATCAAGCCCTGTCGGGCTCCACACTCAGCACAGAATTTGCTTGAGAGTCTCCCTGTCCCTTTCACTCAGCCCCTCCTCTCTCTCTCTCTGAAATAAACAGAATCTCAAAAAGAATTTACTCAAGACAGTATATACTAAACATGCACCCCAGCCACTAACTTCTTGGGCTTTTGTAGTCATTAAACAAATCACAGAAGTATATGAAAAGTGACTAAAAAAAGCAAATTCAGAATTTTTAATTTGTTGAGGTATATAAAACATGGGAAATTGATTTTGCAGGGACCTAAAAAGGATATCTGAGGTCAACTTGTCACTGTGGCTCAGAACTCAAATCATTCGCCAAACTCAAGAGATACAGCACACAAATCTTTAATTTCTAGAGTATACATTGTTTCCTTTAGATTTAATAAAGATGACAAAAGCAAAACACTGAAGCTTTTTTAAAAATCTAGTGCCAAACCTATAAATTGTTAACATTGTTTATTAAGAATTCACAGTAATTGTCTTGCAGTTTGCAGATGCCAAGAAGTCATGGCAACAAAATTATAGAATAGTGTTACATAGATTTAAAATAAAAAAAGTAAAATGCTTTGAAAAAAATTATTATAGAATAAATTACATTTTAAATCAGAATGACCGACAAGCTTACGTGGGACATCTGGGCTGCCGTTTAGAGCTGCTTGACCTTTAAAACTTCCAGCTAAAGCATGGGAAAAGCAGCAAAGGCAAGGCAAGAGCATGGGACTGGTTCTGAGATGTGGGTACTGACTCCTCTTCTCTGGGCCTCAGAATTCTCCTTCGTGAAGTTGGAATAGATCATCTTTCTTAGATCTTAAAAGCCCCCAAACTCAAGGTCCCTTTCTAATCATGAACAGCATAGCAGACACCATTTTGGATGAGGGCATAATCCCCTTTGAGAATCACTCCTGGAATCACAACTAGGCTTTTCTCCTGTCCTGTTTCATCACTCCACACACTCCTGAAACCTAATTGATCCTGTTCATCAGACAACAGCAGAACTATAAAAATGTTCAGAAGCAGACATTTAGGAGGTTCTTTTAATGCCTAATAATTACATGAAACATGACAGACACAAAAGCTGTTAACAAGTCAAAGTGAAAGGAGCCTTTTTAATCTCTTTTGTGTTGTGAAAGGTGGAAAATCTTTTGCTTTTTGTTAAATCTTTACGTTGAAGACTTCCCTCCACAAAAGGTGCCTTTATTTGTACATACTTTAGATGTTGGGTTCATAGTTTCCTGCAATTTGTGGGCACTTGAGTGTTGAGATCTTGTGCTAAACTCAGGATCGTAGGTGAAAGGAAACCCAGGATTGGAGATGTTCTTAGGGCCGCTCCTGAACTGAAAATATTCTCCCCTCCAGATTTGCATTTTTTCCACTGTATGGTTAACAACTGGCTTCTATATTTTCTGTGAAGGGTGTAATAACTTCCGCAAGATGGCTAAAGTTCATCTTCCATTACTAAAATTTATGGCTTTTACTTTAGTAAACAATTTGTCAAGTTTTCTTACTGACCTCAAAGATGAAAGACTATATAATGCAGCAATTAGCATTGTGCTGGTAATAATGCCTAAGAAGTTTCACTCTCTTCTCTTCCTGTAGTGTACCGCCAAGTAAATGTTTGGCTAAAAAATGTTTAAACAAGGCCTCATACCCATCTATACTTCGATGAAGGCCTACACTATGTGGCAGTTTAAGGCTGGCTCAGCGGATACTGATCATCTGCCTCTTCAGTTCTAACCCCCGTAAGACACAATGATCCAAACCCAATGATCCTAGACTGTATTAAAATGTGCCTTCACTACATAAAGATTTACTGTTCTGACTTCTCTCTGCATTTTGCATCTTTTTTTAAATTCTGAGGAAATGTTGTTCTATATAAAGATCCTCTTTCTTTAGTTGAGGAGAAAACTAGTCTCTGCAGATAAGTTTGGGTCCTCTACTGTGAAAAACAAAAACTATTTCATTTCTTTTAGCAGCCAGAAACTTTAGAATCAAAATCATTGTCCAAGCTTTACTTGCTAAGTGGAGTTGCCTGAAGCTATGTAGTTCTATGCTGTTTTAATGTTGAATGTCTTCTTTAAAGGCTCTATTTTGTAGGCCTCTTCATGCCCTTTTAAAAGAAAATAGGATACACATTTCAAAAATATAGTTACCAGTGACTACAGTTAATGTAGTTAAGCATACTGTATTAGTTTCTATTATAATGTATGTGTTAAAGATGGACTTAACAGCTGTTTTTGTAATGGATATAATTTTACATAGAAAATATGCTAGTTTTCCTTCATGAGCATGAAGAATGAGATCACAGTTATATTAAATATTTACTATGCTGTTCAAATGTTGGCTGGCTACTAACTACTAGAATGCCTATTCAACATAGCTACTGAAAGAATTTCTATCTAATCTGGCTCTGGCTCATTAGTTCAATGAATACTACATTCATTTAGTCTTTCTACCTTCCAAAATTGTATTTTTAAAACAGGAAATTATGCTGACTTTAAAAAATGTTAAATCATGAATATATAGTATTTATAGGTTTTTTTTTTAATCTCCTGGATATTATGTACTTTAAAAAACGAAAAATGTGATATAAGAAACATTTTGAAGGGGTATTTTATATGTATCATATTTAAAGGTCCCAATTTTCACTAATCTGAGAAAAGCCATAGATGTGGTATCTTAAAAAAAATCAATGAAATTCAGTGAAACTTCAATCTCTCATTTCATTGAGAATTTACTACAAAAAAATATCAAAATGAGAATTGACCTCTTTTAAATGGCATGTCTGTATTATAATTTGATAAACATTTCTTTCCATGTTTATCTTAAGATTCAAAATCTCAGTGCAATAACATGATTGAAGAATCATGTAACAATGTATATTTTAATATAAGATTTGTGTAGTGATTTAGAATAAATAACACACAGTGAAAAATTTATCAGAAACTAAATGCCATAACAAAAGGAAACAAAAGCTTATGTACACATTACCAAGGTCTTTACAATAAGTTAATACGTGTAGTTCCATCACAGCATATTTGTATACAAAGCCACTAATGGGAACACTGGAAGAAATCTCTCGTGTAGGTCTTTAATCTTGATTTAATAAAGTTTGTACAGTATCAAATAATATCAAAAGTCTAAAAAAACACAATGAGTTTTTATATCATGTTTATAAATTATTGTTTATAGACCATAAAAAAAATAAGGTCAAAAGTGCAGTTTAAAAAAAAGTGGAAGTTGTTATTCTTGGTAAGAACTAGAAAAATGTATTGTCCCAAGTAAGAAGCAATCTGAGGGCTCTTAGAGTTTCTTAGGAATTTTCCTTTAACTATCATACAACCTTGGCTACTATATGCCATAACATAAACCAGTACAAAGGGAGCAAAATCATCTTCTTATAAAAATATCAGGAAACACAAATCTGGTGATGAGAAATGCTGTAAAGAAACATAATTACAGGCCTCCCCCAAAATGAAAGAAACGACATTGTGCACAGGAATGAATAGGCCACCACTGCATGTGACCAAATTTGGGAAAATTCAAAGAATTTCTAGAAGTTTTAATCTTTTTCAAGTTTTTAGTCATGACTGGCAAGGGTGCATATATCCCAGGATTATGAAATCTTCTACTGTAAGACAAAATAGGACTTAAAGGTGATAAATCTTATCATCTACTATTCACAAAAGATAAGGACTAAGGATCCAGTAATTAAAAGGCAGCAGTATAGAAATTAGTCAAGAAGAAACAGATGGGTGCGACAGAACTCTAGGTCTTCATTGGCACTTAGCATAGTAACAAGTTATATTTTGACAAATTCTAGAACAAATGCCTGTATTGAAATATGTGTGGTACAGTAACCATTTATATTTAAGGAACCAAAATGGTAAAATAATGGACTTAAAAAACAAATTAAATTTAAAGAAAAGAAAAACAAAAGGAATGTAGAGACGAACTTATTGTGGGATCAAAATGTTGACAAGCTGTATCAACTAGAGCAGTTTCTTGTTGCTAAGCCTAACAGGCAGTCTGAGCCAGGCTCAGCACCACCATTCCCCTCTTCGGATACTATTTTGCTCATACCTTGTGTGTGTGACACCAAGCAATAGTGACTGTTACTTTGTTCATGGACTGGAGTAGGTCCCTTGATTGGTTTAACACATAGGCTGCCTGAGACAATAAAAGCTTCACCATTACAGTAGGTTAGTGGGAATGAAGGTCGTCCTAGTTCTGATAGGAGAAAAGGGTTGGTGGCGGAAGAGTATGGGTGCTCAGCAGACTGCATACGTACACACTTAATAACTAATGTCCCCTTAGTAGAAGATTAAAAATCAATGGATATGGACGCTTGTGCAGAATCTTCTCGCCCCCGGACATAAATCTCACAAGGAATCTCCTCCATTACTCTGTCTTCTAGGGCCTGTTCAGGGCACTCATGTGCCTGTTTGAAAGTGTAGCTACTCTTTTTGAAGGTGCTGTTAAATGTTTTCATTGGCTGTGGTTGTGCAAAATCATTTCGGAAAGGCAGTTCCATGGAACTCAGGTTGGTCCTGCTCTGTTTGACACTGGATGCTTGTGACCCACAGTGATGGTCATGAATGCAGCGGGAGGCGGTGGAGGAGCGCCGCATCTTCTGGTAGTTGTCCAGTTCTTCTGACAGGTCGGCCAAGTCTGCAGAAATCTCTTTGTCCCTTAGGGAGAACAGCTCATAATGAGGAGGATCAAACACTTCCTGAAATCCAGTTTTATTAAATGCACTTTTGCAAGCCATGACCTTTTTTCGAGGCTGTTTCACTTGTACTAAAATAGAAATAATGAGAAGGACCAAGACAATCCCTGATGTGATGCCAATAATTGTTCCATGGGTTTTAGTGACTTGTTCAAACAGTCCTGCTTTTTTCTTTTCTGTAGAAAGAGAAACAATAAGCCTTTCAAAATTCATTGAGTTCTGTCACAAGTTGGTAAAATATTTTTAGATAAAGCAGAACACGTGGGTCAAATATACTACAGATGATGCCATTTAAAATTAGGTTTTTAAACAAATAAAACAATCCCATTAAGATTTCTGGTTAAACGAACCAACGACAATATAGTCGGATAGATTACATAAAAGAAAAAGGACTTGGTTCTTTACTCAGAAGGTACATGAAGGCATACAATTTGCAAATCAAATTAAAAACATGAATCTAGGGGCTCCTGGGTGGCTCAGTTGGTAAAGCGTCTGACTTCAGCTCAGGTCATCATCTCCAGGTCCTGGGATCGAGCCCCGAATCGTGTTCCCTGCTCAGTAGGGAGTCTGTTTCTCCCTCTCCCTCTGTCCCTCCCCTCACTTGTGCTCTCTCTCTCTCTCAAATACATAAATAAAATCTTAAAAAAATAAAATAGAAAAATAAAAACATGAATATAGAGAAAATGCCCAAAGAAATGCTCTTGTTCTATCAGGTCAGGTCAGCTTTCTGCTCTGTGGTGTTTGGCCAACTGCCACGCTGAAGTATATCCACAGTATTCCTTTCTTTTCTTTTTTTTTTCCCACTGTATTTCTACTGATGGCCATCAGCAAGACAGGACTAAAGTGATTAGGCTAACCCACTGAGGTATATCATCAAGATCCAACCTTTGAATGATTATCTGATAATACTTCAAGTCAAGTACTTAAGAAGCCATATCAGATCACACTAAATTCTCATAGTAAGATATTCACTGAACTCTTGGAGGATAGAAGGCAGGTAAACTTTAAGACTGAGACAGTGATTTGATAATGCCTGTAGATATTGTTATTACCACAAGTCATGTTTACCTTAGATATACACTAGAAATATAGCATAGAAAATTTTATAAAATGAAAAAGCAGTTCTTACTAGCCTACTTTTACTGCTTTTTAAGACTGAATCCATCAGTATTTATTAAATAGTATTACCGTACAATTTTAAAAATACTAGTATTCTAGGTCACTTTCTGAATTATTCTGAGAATAAGGTATCTTTACAATACGAATGACTAAAATAACGCATGAAATATTATGGCAGACTTTTGAACAACTTCAGATAAAAAACAGTACATAAAAAAAAGAATACTTTCAATTGAGAATAAATATTTTTTCTTTGCTTTTACCACATACCAGAGATGCATGATCTATTTAAAGGAACAGTTATATTCTATGTTTCCATTTTGGCCAAAGCAGCTATGCTAAGCATAGTTATAGAGGACATTTTAAGTGTTTCTTAATGAAGGGCAATGGCCACTTTTCTCTCAAAAAGGTTGGCCTTTGCCAGCACACTCACCTTTACAGTGATTTTCATCCCAAGGGTATGCACAGTTCTGAACACCGTTACAGACTAAAGAATTATTGATGCACATGTTGCTGTGGCAGAAGAAAGTGCTACCTGTGCACGGAGCTGCAGGAAAGAAGAAGTTTGTTGCTAAGAACTCATCCTGGTTTACTGACCCTTCCTCCTTCCATGAGTACCCTCTGTACTAGAGACACAGTAAGACAAGGGCCAGTACGCTCTGAGATGGTCTGAGGTAAACACTTTTTACTCCAGCTGGGTGCCAAATGTCATTTTTAGTGTAATGACAGTATGAATACATTTGCCATGGTGCTTATGGAACTAGCATACAGCCTGGTAAGTTTTTTCAAAATGTTAAAAGAAAATGTTGGTGAGGATGTGGAGACTCTGGAACCCTTGGTGCACTGCTGGGGGAAATGTAAAACAGTACAGCTGCTATGGTAAACAGGATGGGGTTTCCCCCAAATTCCCACCGATTACTGTCTGCTCCAGCAATTCCACGCCCAGGTGCATACCCCAAACACCTGAAAGCAGGGGCTCGAACACAGAGTACACCGGTGATCATGGCAGCATTAGTCACAAAGCCCACAGCAGCATTATTCCACCAAAAGGCGGAAACAACCTAAATAAATGTCTGTTGATGGGTGAATGGATAATCGCAATGAGGTACACACATAAGTAATGGACTATTATTCAGGATTAAAATTCAGAAGAAAATTCTGACAAATGCTACAACATGGATGAATCTTGGAGACAACATGCTTGAAAGAAGCCAGACACAAAAGAACAAATTATGTATGAGTCCAGGTATATGAGGTACCCAGCGTGTCAGTTCATTGAGAGGAAAAGAGAACATCAGCTACCAGCATCCAGCAGGAGAGGGGAATGGGGTGTTTAATGGGACAGTTTCAGCTGGGGATGATCAAAAACTTCTGGAAACGGATAGTGCTGATGGGTGCACAAAGATATCAATGTACCTAGTGCCAGTCAACTATGCACTTAAAAATGGTTAAAACGGCAAATTTTATGTTACACAGATTTTGCCAGAAAAAAAAAATCACTCCTTGGAATTTGTAAATTAAAATTTTTTTAAAATGATAAAGATATATGGACTATATACCATGTAACTTCGTGTTTTATGTAAACTGTTCTTCAGCCTGAAATGTCTCCTCCTTCCTTCCTGGTGACTACCTGCTCATCTTTCAAGATCACTGAAAATGCAGCCCTCTCTGTGAAGATTCCCTCAATGCTCCTAGGTACCGAGTGTGACTCCTATGTTCCTGTCATACTCTAAGATGTGCTTCTATTTAACACTTCTCCTGTATATGTAAACATTTGTTACACTACATTGTGACTCAGTGTGTTTACTTCTGTTAAGAAATAAAGTCCTGGATTGGAGACAAAAGTACCAACATAGTATAAAGTATAAAGACATACACACAAGAATCTGAAAGTCAGGAAGCATGATGGCTTTTCTCTCACATTCACAGAAGCCCGTAAAAATCAACTAATCATTGTGACTTCCAGAAATATAATAAAGCAAAATGTATTTCCTGTCTAAAAAATTCTACATTTAAGATAGGTATCTCATCAAAGAAAGAAAACTGAATTCTACTCTCTATTATACTGATAGACCTCAAATATTTTTATATATTTTTTAAAAGCTTATTTTCAAGATGAAAAGAAATACATAAAATTTTATAGGACTAATAATCACTGGATTTCCTCCCCTAAATATTATCTTTTTAAAAAACATATATACAATGAACCTTATCAAAACAGTGAATTTAGTATTTCTTTCCCCTCTAAAGAGAAGGCTCTCTCTTTAGGTTACAAACACAGGAAGTTTTGGAATACAACACAATACACATTGTCCAATTGCATCACCAGTAATAAAACCGACAGTATGGCAAACACAAACAAACAAGACTGTTGGATTGTTTGGTATCCACCTGCTTGACCCCCCTTTGTCTATTTCTCAATTTGGCTCTGAAGATGGGCTGTAAAAATAGGTATTTATTGAGACCCCAGGAATACTATCAAAAGGACAAGAAATAAGTGTCAGTGCAGATGTGGAAAAATGGAACCCCTTGAGCACTGTTGGTGGGAATGCAAACTGGTGCAGCTACTGTGGGAAACAGTATGGAGGTTTTGAGGCTCCTCAAAAAATTAAAAATTAAAAATAGAATTACTATATAATCCAGCAATTTCACTCTTGGATATCTATCCAAAGAAAATGAAAACACTAATTCAAAAAGATATAGACACCCCTATGTTCACTGCAACATCATTAACAATAGTCAAGATATGGCAGAAACCTCAGTGTCCATAAATGGATGAATGAATAAAGATGTAATATATAGGAGCGCCTGGGTGGCTCAGTAGGTTAAAGCCTCTGCCTTTGGCTCAGGTCATGACCCCAGGGTCCTGGGATCGAGCCCCGCATCAGGCTCTCTGCTCAGCATGGAGCCTGCTTCCTCCTCTTTCTCTGCCTGCCTCTCTGCCTACTTGTGATCTCTGTCTGTCAAATAAATAAATAAAATCTTAAAAAAAAAGATGTAATACATATATAAATTGGAGTAATGGATGGAACTAGAGGGTATTATGCTAAGCGAAATAAGTCAATCAGAGAAATACAATTATCGTATGAACTCACTGATATGAGGAATTTGAGAAACAAGACAGAGGATCACAGGGGAAAGGAGGGGAAAATGAAACAAGAAGAAACCAGAGAGAGACAAACTATAAGAGACTCTCAATCTCAGGAAACTGTTGCTAAAGTGGACGGGGATGGGGGAATGGGGTGGCTGGGTGATGGATACTGGGGAGGGTATGTGCTATGACAAATGCTGTGTATTGTGTAAGACTGATGAGTCACAGACCTGTACCACTGAGACAAATAAAACGTTACGTTAAAAAAAATGAAAATGTTTCTACAAAACAAACAAAAACTGGAGTATTACTGAGCCATAAAAAAGAGTGAGATCTTGCCATTTGTGACAACATGGATAGACTGAAGAGGTATGCTAAGTGAAATTAGTTAGAGAAAGACAAATACATATGATTTCACTTATATGTGGATTCTAAAAAAACAAAACAAATTCACAAACAAAACAGAAAGACACATAGATATAGAGAACTAATGGTTGCCAGAGGGAAGGGGATGGGGAGACAGGACTAAGTAGGGGAAGGGGACTAAGAGGAACAGTCTTTCAGTTATAAAATAAGTAAGTCACAGGGATGTAATGTACAGCACAGGGAATATAGTCGATAATATTGTAACAACTTTGTATAGTGACAGATGAAACCTAGACTTATTGTGGCGATCATTTCGTAATGTATGTAAATATCAAATCATTGAAACTAATACCATATTGAATGAATGTCAGTTATTCTTCAATTAAAACAAAAAATAACATCCAGGGATGCCTGGGTGGCTCAGTTGGTTAGACAGCTGCCTTCGGCTCGGGTCATGATCCCGGGGTCCTGGGATAGAGTCCCACATCTGGCTCCTTGCTTGGCGGGGAGCCTGCTTCTCCCTCTGCCTCTGCCTGCGCTTCCACGCTCTCTCTAACAAATAAATAAAATCTTTAAAAAAAACAAACAAACAAAAAAACATCCAAAATTGCTTTGCGTTAGAGGGCAAATATATAATCTCTTTAAGGCATAATCCCCAAAAGGTAAAAGTCACCAAGTTCTAGTTCAGCAGGCTAATCATCTACTATTAATTACTATGAGCCAGGATTTGTGAAACCCTTCTCCTTCGCCATTATAAACTAAATTGAGTTTCAGCAAGAGTTTTATCCAAATACAATTAAATATTCTCTGTCAAAAACCTTTAGACTTTCTTATTTGCTGGGTACTTACCCACTCCTGTTCAAGTATAATAACCCCTAGGTGGCTCTAATGACTCAAGAATTTAAAATAAAATACTAAGAACTGTGAGTTTGGGAAATAGTGCTATGAAACAGAGAGAAGAGATAATGATGGACTAGTAATTAATAAAAATTGTTTGTTATTAGTTAACCTGTCTAACTTAAAATTTTAACTGACTCCCTGGGTCTCTGCTTCCTCTTTTTAAATGAGTGGGATGGACTACCCGGTATTTCAGACTTCTGGTTCTCAAATCAATGAGACTGGGGCACGTGGGTGGCTCAGTCAAGTGTCTGCCTTTAGCTCAGGTCTTGATCCCAGTGTCCTGGGATCAAGTCCAGTGTTGCAGGGGAGAGTCCTTGCTCAGTAGGGGGTCTACTTCACCCTCTCCCTTTGCCCTTCCCCACCATTCATGTTCTCTGTCTCTCAAATAATAAAATCTTTTTTTTTTTTAAAAAGACCCTTTTTTAAAAAAAAAAAAGATTTTATTTACTCATTTGACAGAGATCACAAGTAGGCAGAGCAGCAGGCACAGAGAGAGAGGAAGTGAAGCAGGCTCCCCACTGAGCAGAGAGCCTGATGTTGGGCTTGATCCCAGGACCCTGAGATTGTGACCTGAGCCAAAGGTAGAGGCACAACCCACTGAGCCACTCAGGTGCCCCTCAAATAAGAAAATTTTTTTTTTTAGTTAATAATACATATTTATTTGATTTGATTTTTTATTCATTTAATTTTTTTTATTTTTTTAATTAACATATAATGTATTATTAGCCCCAGGGGTACAGGTCTGTGAATCGCTGGGTTTACACACTTCATAGCACATACCTTTCCCAATGTCCATAACCCCACCACCACACTCTCCCTAGCCCCCGCCCCGCAACCCTCAGTTTGTTTTGTGAGATTATCAAATAATAAAATCTTTTTTTTTTTTTAAAGATTTTATTTATTTGACAGAGATCACAAGCAGGCAGAGAGGCAGAGAGAGAGAAGGAAACAGGCCCTATGCGGGGCTTGATCCCAGGACCCCGGGACCATGACTCGAGCTGAAGGCAGAGGCTTCAACCCACTGAGCCACCCAGGCACCCCCAAATAATAAAATCTTAAAAACAAAAATAAAATCGATGAGACTGAAATTAGTGGTCTCAATCATGTTGATACTTCTATTCTCAGAAGAATCATGTATATAACCAGTAATTTACTCAGAGACTGAATCCACCACATGGTATCATTTAACC